GCCTTTTGGATGTTGTAGTCAGACAAAGTACGCCCATCTTCCAGCTGCTTGACAAAAAATCAGTCTTTGCTGATCAGGAGGCATTCCTTTCTTAGCCTGGATTTTGGCTTTTACATTTTCTTTTGTATCCAACGGTTCACCCTCGAGGGTAATGATCTTCCCTGTAAGGCTTTTTATGAAAATTTGCATCTTGGTGGCAGTCCCACTATAGATGGTGGATCGGAAAGGAAGAGCACTGTGTCTATGATCAATTTTTCTAACTCCAAAAGAAAGTTATAGTATTTTGGGAACCAGCAGTTAGCGTAATGGCTAGGTCGCTGGACTCCCACGTAGTTGACCGCAGTTCACGTCCTGGACCCAGGCACGTGTGCGTGTGTGCCCAGCATCCCAAGAGGAGAATGGAGGAGAAGGGATTGCGGCGTGACCATCCCCCCTGGAAGGTGATTTCACGCTTTCTGTCTCTATGTCTCTCTCTGTCTGGCGAGTGCACGTGCCCTATAGCGAAAAAAACCTCTCCAAAAAAAAAAATTTATAGTATTTTATTAGGTGCACATTAAATATTTAAATTAATAAAGAGAATATGACATATAAGCCTCTTTATGACGTTGAATCTTAGTGATGGTATATCAGAGAAATTGTACATGTTTCCATTTGTTGAAACATGTTAGTTTTCAAAAGATTTTATGTCTGTATTTGTTTGCTGTGGTTGCTATAATAATTTACCACAAACTTAGTGGTTTAAAACAACAGGAATTTATTTTCTCACAGTACTAGAGGCCAGAAGTCTGAAATTAATTTCATTGAGCCAAAATCAAGGCTTAGGCCAAATCATGCTCCCTCCAAGCTCTAGGTAAGATTGTAACTTGCCTGTCTCAGAAGTATCTAGTGGCAGCCAGTATTCCTTTACTTGTGACCACATCACTCTAACATGTGTCTCTTCCTCTATGTTACCTGTTCCTCTTTTGTGTATATCAAATCTCTTCATGTCTCTCTTAGAAGAACATTTGTGATTGGCTTTAGAGTTCACAGAGATAATGCAGGAAAATCATCTCATGTCAAGATCCTTAATCACATCTGCAAACACCCTTTTTTCTTATAAGGAGATATTTGCAGTTTCTAGGAATTCAGATCTGATATCTTTGGGTGGTATTATTAGCCATCTGTAAGTCTTCTTGTAGATTTTGGGCATGTCATTTAAAATTTTTCGTTAGATATTTTGTATCTTTTTTGTTGTTACCTAAATGGCATCTTCTTTATCATATCTGCTAACTGGTTTATATTTGTATATTGATTTTTATATGTTGCTTTTATATGTTGCTTTTTGTTAGGGCGTGTGGACTTAAATCCTCTTACTTAATGTAGTAGCTTTGCAATGGATTCTTTGCATTTTTTTTCTTTTTGAGAGGTTTTTGCTATAGGGCGTGTGCACTCGCCAGACAGACAGAGAGAGACAGAGAGAAAGAAAGCGAGAAATCACCCTCCCCCCCCCGGGGGGATGGCCACGCCGCAATCCCTTCCCCTCCATTCTCCTCTCGGGATCTTGGGCACGCACGCACGCACACGTGCCCGGCGTGAGTTTAAGCCACTGGGTCCGGGACATAAACCACGGTTGACTACATGGGAGTCCAGCGACATAGCCATTACGCTAACTGCTGGTCCCCACTGTGGATTCTTTGCATTTTGTCTAGATTTATAATGATATCATCTGTATATAAAGATAGTTACATCTCTTTCTTCCCAAGTCTCATACCTCCAATTATCTTTGCTTATCTAAATGCTTTGACTAGTACCTCTAACAGGATGTTACATAGTAGTGGAGATATTTGGTCCTTTTCTTGTTCCTGTCTTAAAAGGAAAGCTTCTAGTATTTCCTACTAAATAAGATCCAAGACATATTGTTTTTGTTTTCGTTTTTTTACATTTTTGCCATAGGGCATGCCCACTTACTGGGGAGAAAGGGAGAAAGACTGTGAAAGGAAAAGTGAGAAGTCACCCTTCGGGGGACAGACATGTCTGGTATGTGTTTTTAATGTTTTATATTTCCCTATGTATTATTAGGGAAATTTATATATTTCAAAATGAAAAACGTTAAGCAATGTCCCTTATACAGAATAATGTCACATAATGCTTTGAAAGTTTTCAGATAATCTCTTTTCCCTTTCTCTTCTATTTTCCTCTCAGGATTTTGAGCATGCGCATACTTGTGCCTGGTGTGAGTTTTAAGCTGCTGGGTCCAGGACTCAAACCGTGGTCGCCTATGTGGGCGTCTAGCAACATAACCATTACACCATCACCTGGTCCTAAAACATCTTTTATTTTTTGGGGGGATAGAGGTTTTTCCTACAGTATATGTGCACTCACCAGAGAGACAGAGACAGAAAGTGAGAAATCACCCCCAAGGGATGGCCATGGTGCAATTCCTTCTCCTCCATTCTCTTCTCATGATTTTGAGCACACTTGTACAAGTTCCTGGCGTAAATTTTAAGCCACTGGGTCTAGGACTCAAACCACAGTCAACTATGTGGGAGTCCAGCAACATAACCATTTCATCATCTGCTGGTCCTATAACATCTTAATCTTAAAGTTAGCTAAATATTTAGAGAAATGAAGTAATTACCTAAAGGCAAACTGCCAGAATCAAAGATTTTATTTTCACTGCCCTAGGTTACGTATTCATTTTATTCAATATTTTTCTTCATGAAAACTCTAGATTCAGGTCAATGCATTTTATAAATATGTGTATACATAAATAAGTTAACTTCCTTTAAAAATGTGACTCATACACTTTGTATTCATTAGTTTAAAATAAAGGATAACAATCCCCTAATTCTACCAAAAGTAAATGTGATTATTAATGGTGTGCTATATAAAATGACTGGGGTGTGTGTGCATGTATGTGTATTTAGAGACTGAAACATAAATAGGTCAAAGTCCTCTTTATCAACCAGAACCAGTCCCATTCCTTCTCTTCAGAGGCCTCTACCCATAAGTTTAGCATTTTATCCATTTAAAAAAACTAATTCACAGACAAAAATTATGTGATTAAAAATAATTATTACAAGGACATTAACAAAACCTACCTTTTATATCTTTCTTTTTAACCCATTATCATAATGTGGATTGTGAAAGATACAAGGCTTTTTTCTAAGAATGACATAAAATACAAAGTCTGCTTTTAGGCTCTAGATCTCTAGACAGATCTAATATCTTTCCACTATCATATTGTCTCACTACACTGTTCTCATTTAGAAATTTAAAACATTTAGAAAGTTGCTTTTGATTTTGATAAAGCTTCTAATAGTTCTTTCCAAATTGTAACAGAATAGTTAAGGAAGAGAGGGAAAACATAAATAAAAAACAATTTTTGAGTATTATGTGTCTGTGGAAAAGTCAAATGAAAGTGCTTCTGAACAGAGAATAGTGAACAGAAAGTTTATTTAATTGCAAAGGGATGGTTCAGCTAGGGGCTATGCATTAGAGTTTAGTAAGAAGTGACTTACTTCCTTGAATTAAATCAATTCGTATTCATGATTATAGAAGGATGGATTCAAAATTACATATAATACAAAATCCTGGCCCTTAAAATTTTAAAAACCCTGACTCACAAGTAGGGGAGTTGAACAGGATTTTAGGATATCATATTTTATTTAATCTTTTTGGTATTTGACATGGAAAATGACAGGCTCTACCACAGATGCTGCAAAATACCAGAATAAACAGAATTACCATTTTGTTGTTAAGTATGAAGTATTGATAATTTAAACCAAGAACTAGCAAACTTCACATTTTTTTTTGTAAAGGGGGGGGTCATATAGTAAGTATTGCTAGATTTGCAGGCTATGTGGTCTCTGGTTCAACTGCTGTACTCTTGCAGCCAAAAGCTCTCTCAAACAATTCATAAACAAATGGGTAAGACTGGCTGGGTTCTAATTAAACTTTATTTACAAAGCCATTTGGGAAGCTATGACTCACAGATGTTTATTAGATCTTGTTGGGTTGATAGCAGAAGTATACAGATAGATATTTAATAACCGACTTTTAGGCGAGAGGAGGAAACCCTGATTTGCATCATTTGCCCATTTATATGGCATGTAAACCACCACAACTGATATCAAACTACTAACATGACATCACTGGACAAGGCAGTAGAAAGACACAGTAGCATACTGTTATATTGCATTTTCATCATACAGCTTCACTAAATACAGATAACCTCATGGGGAGAGGTAATAGTAAAATGAAATAAAATAATTAGGAATTGATGAGATTTTAATATTTATTACCTTAATTTTAGTGTAATTTATTTAATGGCAAATTTGGATCATTTGATTTTCTTTTTTTGGAGAGGTTTTTGCTATAGAGTGCATGCGCTAGCCAGAAAGACAGAGAGAGACAGAAAGTGAGAAATCACCCCCTTGGGGTGATGGCCATGCCACAATCCCTTCTCCTCCATTCTCCTCTCGAGATCTTGGGCACACATGCACATGCGCCTGGCATGACTGTAAAACACTAGGTCTGGGACTCAAACCGCAGTCGACTGCTTGGGAGTCCAGCCATTACGCCAACTGTTGGCCCCAGTAATTTGATTTTTAAAGATGTCTGTGTTTAAAACATGACTCACAGACTTTCTAAAATATTTAATCATTGGCTCTAGTAAGTCAGTATGAACCCGCTTCAGCACACCATTGTTTTGGAAGACATAATTATGAAATTTTGTTTAATAAGTTGCCTATTGAATCTGAAGTTACATGAAAGAATAAAAGCAAAAAAGATACAGAGAATTGTGTTAATACACAACTTTCTTACTAATCTTGCTTATCTGTTTTAATAAGAACTTGAAAAAATACCTTTGTTCATTAAAGTGAGAGTTGATTATGTGTCAAAGATGATTGCTTTGTTTCTTAGTTCATCTCAACTTTTAAATGACATCATATAAAATGAATTTAGGTCAATGTGTCAAATGTAATAATAAACTTATATGTATTTGATTTTTTCTTAAGGCATAACTGTGACACCCGACGAAGAACAAAACTTGAATCATTACATAGAAGTTTTACAGAACCTCATACTAAGTGTTCCTACTAGGGAGCCAGGCTATGTGAAAAACTTAAAGGCTCCAAAAAATGTTGATTCTGTAAGATCCAAGGTATCAAAATTTAAGGAGATAATTACTCAGGGAGATACTTCAACTGAGAATGATGTTTTAATCAATCCTATCAGTGAAGAAACTACAGCTTTCCATACTACAGGCTTAACA